TCAAGAACCAGACGCATTGTAGTGAGAGAGAGAGAGAGAGAGAGAGAGAGAGAGAGAGAGGGAGAGAGTCCGGAAGAGTGGAGAGTTGAGGTGGGTCAGGTTTTGAGGGAAGGTCATAGTGGCCGTTGTTAGTTTTTTTGGTCATGATGTTGATGCTTTGGACTTGGTTTTAATTAATTGGGAGGTCTAAGCAGCAGCCGCAGCAACAACAACCCAATAGGTATGTGGTGCTTCTCTGTCACAATAATTCTATGTCCTGCAATTTCTCTGGCCAGATTTTTGCTGAGCTTTTCATGATACAAAGTGGGCACAATTAACTTTGCTTGGAAATAATTGTTTCAGTCATTTCAGTGAACATCTGCATGTCAAGTTGTTGAACATATTCTTTTTTGTTTTGTTTTGTTTTTTGAGTTTGAGATCCCACTTGTGAGTTTCTTCTTGGTAATGCTATTAATGCCTTTATTTTCTGTTTGGGTAACTGGAGGAGGCAGTTGGTTAAGCTTCTATACTTTTATATTTTGTGCAAATTTTACCAATCATTTTACTTGGGCAGTTTGAACTGCCTTTCTTTCAAAGGAGATGAAACTGAAATGAGTTTTGTGTGAATTAAGGTTTGAGAAGCGAAGTGTAAAACGACAAGGCATACCTGGGTAGAGTTTGGTGGCTGAGGTTTCAAGTTCAAACAAAATGTCTGTAGCATTACTATGGGTGGTTTCCCCCAATACAGAGGTGTTCAACTTCTTTGGGATTTTAGATTCATCAAGGTTTGCTTTGGGAAATCGAAGTTCGATTAGAGCAAAGATGGGTAGGAAACAGAAACGGAAATCTTGCTCTCTCAGTACAGATGTGAAGTATTCATCTGTAGGGAGCTCTGGCCTAGGCAGTGAAACCAAATTTTCGGTTTTATCACGCGTGGTGGCCAACCCGGTTGGAGAAATAGCTGTCTCATCTGAACAGAAGGTTTATGATGTCGTGCTAAAGCAGGCGGCCTTGGTTAAGAAGCAGTTGAAGTCTAATGGAGATCTTGATGAGCCTGATATTGTTCTTCCCGGGAATCTGAGCATGATGAGTGATGCTTATGATCGATGTGGAGAAGTATGTGCAGAGTATGCCAAGACTTTTTATCTGGGTTGGTCTTCTCTTAAATGATTTTTGCTATTCAAAGTAATTTTGGCTTGAACTTTGCAGCTAAAGTAGTGATCTTTTTTATTCTTTTTGTGGTCAAGAAGTAGTGATCTAATTGCAGCATTAGTAATCTTTTTCAGTCACTCACTGAATTCTATTTTGCTTTTCACGTTTCAGGAACTCTGCTTATGACCCCTGAAAGAAGAAGGGCCATCTGGGCAATATATGGTGAGTGACTATGACTATTATTCATTTTAAACTGTGGACCTAATCCTAGGAAAAGGGCTTCTTGCTTTTGTTAGAAAAAATAATATTTTAAAGCATATGGTAGCTTACCTATAATTTGGGATGTGTAATAAATCTGTATTATCTATTGGTAACTCAGTATATTTGCTCCCTTTTCATCTAGTAGCACAGAGACAGAGCAATAAGTCCCAAATAAATTATTTACTAAAATGTGATTTTCTGTGCTAAAGAAATGATCTACAATGTGCTTCCTTCCATTTTATCACTAGCATTTTGAAAGTACCTCTTTTTCTTTCTTTCTTTTTCTTAAAAAAGAAATGATGAGATCAAGATATTCCTACTTGTAGGCAGAATCTTGTTTATGAAGAATGATTTGGTTATCTTGTCAACTTGTCCTAATTCTTGTTCTTTCTGTTCTTCTCTTATAGTACGTGTTTCTGTTAAACATATATTCCTATGGATGTTTGTTCTCAACTTCAACCTACATGCAAAAACATATTTCCTCTTTTGTTCTTATGATGATCTCTTGCACATACAGTGTGGTGTAGGAGGACAGATGAGCTTGTTGATGGGCCTAACGCCTCACACATAACACCAACAGCTTTAGATAGGTGGGAGTCGAGGTTAGAAGATCTTTTCCAAGGTCGTCCATTTGATATGCTCGATGCTGCTTTGTCAGATACAGTCAACAAATTTCCCGTTGACATTCAGGTAAGAATAACTGCCAAAATCTTGTATGAAGTCAAATAAGGCTAATCTTTAAAATGTTCTATGCATCATGTTTTGACTGAAGATCTACTTTCTTATTTAGATAATACCACTTTTGTCTTTTTACCTTTCTTCTTTGGGAACTATATCTTGAAATGTGAAAAGGAATTCAGAGCTAAGCTTGTAGGTGTAATCCACATGCTTCCAGCCAAGAAGTGTCAAGCATCAAGCTATAGATGTCTAGCTGAAATGGATTTTACCAGCTATCTCTGTTTTCAAGTTACTATTTGGTACATCACATACAAGAATGCACTATTTCTTTAATGCATGGAAATTTTTGAGTTTAATACCTACCCATTTTCATCCATCAGACAGTTCCCTTTTCAATTTGATTGATAATTCAATTCAAACTAAGATTAAGCTTGTGAATTTATTTTAAAGCTTTGTTTGCCCATGAACTTCTGAGTTCTGACCCTATCTTCTGCTCTTTTTGTAGCCATTCAAAGATATGATAGAAGGAATGAGAATGGACCTTAGGAAGTCAATATACCAAAACTTCGATGAACTATATCTCTACTGCTATTATGTTGCGGGGACTGTTGGATTAATGAGTGTTCCAGTTATGGGCATTTCACCTGAATCGCAAGCAACAACGGAGAGTGTATATAATGCTGCCTTGGCGTTAGGGATTGCAAATCAGCTCACAAACATTCTCAGGGATGTTGGGGAGGAGTAAGTACACAGCACTAACGATTTATATGCTGAATTTTTCCAATCATATCAGCAATGTTATTGAAACAGCAGTGCCCAAAACTATAGAGTAAAGCTGGCTTATAATTCAGTGGTAGGCTATCCAATTTTAGCTGGCCTGTAACTGACTGGTAGGCTATCCAATGATAGCTGACCCTGACAGTCTGATTTTCAGTTCGTGCTTTTGAAAGTCACATAAGACTCCAAGATACAATTCTCTAAGCTCTAGTTGAATAAGAGCGACAGAAGAAGTTGCAAATGGAATCTTTTAACAGACTTCATTCTCTATCTCTTGATAGCATTAAAGAACAAATAACACTTGAAACAAAAATAGAAGAGAGAAATTTAAAATGAAGAATGGAAAGTTAACTAGGAGTGGAGTATGTATGCTTTGAATTGTGCAGGAGCTGGTTTTTCCCCTTTGTAAATACTTTGCTTTTGTTTAAGATCACATGGGTTGTCATCTACTATTGGAATTTACTCTTATCATTAGTAGTAATTAGCTCACACTTTCATTAATTTTGTATCCCACTTATAAGCATTTTCTTGACCAGTGCAAGGAGAGGAAGAATTTATTTACCACAAGATGAACTTGCACAAGCAGGGCTTTCTGATTCTGACATATATGCTGGAAAGGTCACAGACAAGTGGAGGAGTTTCATGAAGAATCAAATTAAGAGGGCAAGGATGTTCTTCGACGAGGCAGAGAAGGGTGTGACAGAGTTGAGTGAAGCCAGCAGATGGCCGGTAAGCCTCACATGTTTTACTACTAAATATGGAACAAATGCTCACAAAGATATGATGTCCTATTTGGTTTTAATTGACCATTCACGAATAATTATTGTGTGTGTCCGGTACACCACTTTAGATGCCTACATGGTGTATGGAATTCACCCAAATTATGACACGTGTACAATCATTAAGATGTTTATCTAAATTCCGAATTCCTTAGTTAAAAGGAAAAATCTTATTAGAGAGACCAACAAAATTTGACCCTTCTGATAAAAATGTTCACCTGTTGCAGGTATGGGCTTCCCTACTTCTGTATCGCCAAATATTGGATGAGATAGAAGCTAACGATTACAACAACTTCACAAGAAGGGCTTATGTAAGCAAAGCTAAGAAATTACTTGCTTTGCCTATTGCATATACTAAATCCCTCATTCGCCCCTCAAGAACCTCTTCTTATTCAACTAGAGCTCAGAAAACTGATTCTTTGACATCAAAAGTCTAGAATTGCTTATTGAGAGAAAAGAATCCGTGTAAAGGATAAATCTGTATATTATTATATGTATTATTGCAGCAAGAATTTATAAAATTAAAGGGTTATATGATTCCACTTCAAAGCTGTGACATTGTTTTGTGATCCAACTTAATTTCAACTTTCACTACACCTGTTGTCAGCCCCTTTTATTGAATGCAGAGAAGCATAGAGGGTCCATGTTGCCATATGTCCCATATCAACATTCAACCATTCAAGGATGTCTGTAGCAGAAAATCTTGTGGGAAATGAGGATAACACTGTTTGGTTATCTCTAGCCAATTACATAATGCGCAGTGGAAAATTTATCACGTGTGGCATGCTGTGATTGGCTGTGTGCTATCTCCGTTTTACACAAGTGTTTCTCTATGGGTAAGGGTGTATACGAGCCAAGCCAAATATTAAAGCACTCAAGTCAAGCCTAGCTCGTTTAAATTTTATCAAGGGAAAGCGAGGCCACGCCGAATATCAAAGTGCTCTAGCTTAGCTTGTTTAAAATTTATAAAATGTTGGCTTGGGTAGACTTGTTTCTTTTGCGAGTCACGGTCGTTTGGCTTGTTTCTATTATGAACCGAGTTTAAATTAAATAAATTCAAGCCAAACTCAAAGATAGTCCTGATTTACAGCCCTATATGTGGGCAAGAAGGGAAAAAGCTTAAAAAAAAAATAACCAAAAGACAAGGATGAGAAAACAAAATACCAACAACACAAGAGGCGAAATTGGAAACTTTGCTCGGCACCTTCACTTGTAGCCTTATCTATTGTTTTTCCTCTTAGAATAGAAGACGTCAGTCTTTGCTGCAAAACGGCCCCGTTTTAAAGCTTTGGAAGGGAAGTGCATGAAATGAAACCCAAGTACTAATAAGCCAACCTCCACTCCAAGAAAGAGAAACAAAAAGCTCAAATTAATATCTAGACGCTTAAGAATCATACCAGCAAAACCCAAAGAAACGAGACCCGAAAACTCAAGAGGCAAACTAAGGTCGGTTGTGAACGAAGCCAAGCCGCCATGACAGAGGAGAGGGAATAGATTTATGGTTCTTTTCTTTGTGGCATGGACGATTGAGGGTGTCTTGAATTCCCGCATTTGTTTGATTGAGTAACAAGGTGAGGTATGCTTTACTTCTTGGTTTTATGATTGATTATATTCCTTAGTTGAAGTGGTGCAAGAATTGTGTTGTGTTTCATGAGCTTTTGTTGAGGTGGGTTTCTGGTTATGGCGTCTGGATTTGCCATTTACTTCTTGGATATCTGAATATATTCCCTAGTTAAAGTGTGCAAGAGTAGGATTGTGTTTCACGAGCTTCTGTTGAGGTGGGTTTCTGGTTATGGCATCTGGATTTGCCATTTTGGAATGCTCTGTATTTTCTTGTTAAAATCAGTTGAGTTCTGTCGAGATTTCTGTTTGGCATCAACATGTTTAACCTTGAGTATCAAAGAAAGAGAAGAAGAGACGCACAAGTGAGCAAGATAGATGACTTTCCCCAAGAGATCTTGTTTGAAATCTTTTCAAGACTGAGTGTAAAATCACTTTTGCGGTGCAGATGTGTTTGCAAATCTTGGAAGAGTTTAATTAGCAACCCTGATTTCATGAACGCCCATCTCAAAAGAAATGTCTTGAAAAATGCATGTGATTGTCTAGTTATCCACACTGGGTATGACGTAAGTGGCTTCTCAGTCTATGATGCTGAAGAATTTACAAAGCGTTTTGATCTAGAGCTTCCTAGGCCCAAACATGTCTCATATGCAGTTTATGGTTCTTGCAACGGGGTGCTTTGCATCTCCGCTGCTTGGCGTGTGAATTTGGCAAGTCCTATATATCTGTTGAATCCATCAATCAGAGTATTCAAAAAACTTCCCGATTGCCACATCCTGCAAACTGCCCATTTTGTTACTCTTGGGTTTGGGTTTCATGAGAGGGGGGACGACTATAAGGTTGTGAGGGTTGTGAGGTTTCCACGCAAGAAAGATTTCTTTGCAGTTGAGGTTTACAGCCTTAGATTGGATACTTGGACAAGAATTACTGCAACTCCGCCTGTTTCAAAACAAGCCCGTTTTCCTCAACCCAAGTGTTTATTCTTCAATGGATTTTTGTATTGGATTACAGTGGAGCCTTCTCAACATTGCACTTCCATTGTTTCCTTTGATCTGGACAGTGAGGTTTTCCAAAAGATTATGCTTCCAGATATATTGTTCGGAGTGGCATCTGTACCTACTGTTCAAGTGTTTGAAGAATCGCTTTCTTTGTTCCATCAAAGAAAAGATGACAATGTTTGGTACTGTGACATATGGCTTGTGGAGGCAGATACTTGGACAATGAACCGCACAATTCTTTTTCCAAGATGTGAATCTGTAGCATGGCCATTGGGGATTAGAACAGATAACAAATTTCATCTGGTTAGGCATGTTCGAAATATGCAACGTGACCCAATTTTGGTTTTATGTGATCCTGTGTTGCAGAGAGCTAAGGATACCGGAATCAGCTTGAGTTATCACTCTCAGTTTGTCGATGCTTATAGGGAGAGTCTAATTTTACTCAACTGAATTTCTAGTTCTGAGTTCTGAGTTCCAGTTATACATGTGTGTAGTGAATTCTGTTTTTGGTGTCACATGATGACGAGTCATATGTTAGATGTAAATTGGTGACTGATTTTGGAGCTTGTGGACTGATATTCATGTATTTGATAGATCTGTTTTAAACATTTGACAGTTAGCTTTTAATGAATATTCCTTGAAAAGAACTTGAAGAACCAAAATCCTTGCACTCTTCTCTTCTGGTGATGCAACCATGGCCATGATGGTCATGGCAGGGCAGCCATAATGTCTTTAATAGATATGTTTTGGGTGGTTCGGCATGTCTTTGATAGGAGTAAGATAGCGGAAAGCTTTTGGTGTTCTTAGCAATGTTATTGAAACAACAGTAAGAGTGCATGCCCATAACCATATAGAGTAAGTTGTTTCTGTGTTTCATGAGCTTTTGTTGAGGTGGATTTCTACTTATGGTGTCGGGAATTTCCATTTACTTCTTGGATATATGATTATATTCCTAAGTTGAAGTGTGCCAGACTTGCATTGTGTTTCATGAGCTTTTGATGAGGTGGGTTTCTGGTTATGGCGTCTGGAGTTGCCATTTTGGAATGCTTTGTATTTCTTGTTAAAATCAGTTATGTAGGCATTTCTGTTTGGCATTAACATGTGCACCCTCAATGGGGCCCTCAAGTATCAAATAAAGCGAATAAGAGACGCACAAGTGGTCATGAATCATGACCTCAGGCTTATTTAATGCTTAAATAAGCTTATTTGAGGGTTCTCTCAAATGAAATTTTCTGTATATAAAGTGCAACAAGAAATGTATTCTTAAAAGCCACAAAACCCGTGTACAAATTGGACCAAAAAGTCAACACATCTTTCTTAGAAAATCACTTCGTGTTTTTTCATAAAGAATGAGCGATAGTATACTAAACTTACACACATTACACGGATGTTACTGTGCTAGGACTCGAACCCATAACCTTTTCTAGGAGCGATAATAAATATACTTATGTTATAATTCTGGAATGGGAAAAAAACAAAAACAAAAGGCCAATTGACAGTGACACACAAGCCAAGGGGCAAGATAATGCCACACAAATTCTAGAATGGAACTGTTGAATCCATATTCAATCAAAGGCGGGTATAAGCTATAAATAACCACTCAGACCAAAAAAAAAAAAAAAAAAAAGCTATAAATAACCACCTAATTGTAAAATGGAACTTGAAACATACAACTCACAAAAATTTGCTTAAGCTAGCATAGAATTTTAGAGCCGTTTTCACTTTGAGGGGGGAGGAGGCCCTTGTTCTTCCTCTCCTCTCCCCTCTTTCTCTTCCTCCCTCTCTTCTCCAGAGACAAATGGTTTTCTCTCATAGGCGATTGTGATTTGTTCTGATTTTCCTCCAACCATAATAGGCGATTGCGTCTCAGCGTTGGATCTCTACCTGCGTTTTGACGTCGGATCTCTACCACCATCTTCTTTTCGGTTTCTTTATGTTCGGAATAAGTCATAGAGACTCTGTAGGTTCTTTATGAGTTTTCATCTCTCCTTTTGTGAGAGCTTCTCACCTCTCTTTTGTGAGAGCTTTTTATCTCTCCTTTGTGAGAGTTTTATTTGTATTGTTATGGCTTGGTTTTTTCAAGCTTTGTCTATTTTTGATTATTCTGAGTTTGCAATCTTAGTTGGGATGCCTATGCTAGAGTTTATTCGATCCTGCGTGATCGTTAGTGGAGGCACACCAGATTGTCTTAATTTTGTTGTTCGACCGCTCCGTTATTGTAATCGCCCTTTGTGACTAGTTTGTTTTGGCCCCTTGTGGCTAATGGCTTTTTTGGCTGAATTATGAATGCAATCCTAGAATTTCTCCCAAAAAAAAAAAAGCTAGCATAGAATTTCAGTGGAGTAAAATTAAACTCTCAATAAGCATCGACATACCCACAAGGCTTCATCATTTTGATTTCGGTATTGCTGGGGGTTGCTGTGACTGGGGATCATATAAAACCAAATTTGATTCTTCCGGAAAAGTACTTGGCACAACCATAAGAAATCTGCCATTTGCTGTGAACCCCAGTGAACATGATACATATACCCTTGGGGGGAGAAGAATCGTGTGGGTCTTTTTCCAAGTATACATTTCAAGAATCCATAACTCATAAAACCAGCCCAGTTGTTCATCATGTCTTCGGTGGAAGAATGAAAGTGAGTTCTCAAACACTCGAATCGGAGTTTGTTCGAAAACTGCGGGTACTGCACGAGGTAACATGATCCTTTTAAACTCCTCACTTCCAAAATCAAAAGAAAGAATGAAAGTGGGATGTTGAGAAGGGTCCATTGTACTCCAATACACAACTCCATTCAAGAATACACATTCTACTTTGGAAACACTAACATCAGGAGGAACTGCGCTAATTTTTCTCCAAGCATTCAGTCTAAGGCTGTAAACCTCAACCTCAAACATATTTTCTTTGGGTCTAAACCCCATCACCCTCACAACCTTATAGTCATTTTTGCGGTGAAACCCGAACCTGAGAGCAATGACAAAAGTTTTGTAAGCTTGGTCTTGTTTGATTGAGGGATTTCATAGATATATTGAACGACAACTAGAAAGGCAAAGCAATCCATTGCAAGAATCATTAACGACATAAACACTTTCGTGCACAGGAACCCTTAAATCCAGACACTTGGAAAATGTTTCAGCACAACAAAGTGAAAAGCAATTTCTTGTGCGGGTGTGGATAAGTAGATAATCAGAGGTTTTTTCATGACACTTATTTTGAGATGCGCGTTTATGAAATCAGGGCTGTTAATCAAAGTGTTCTAAGATTGGCAAACACATCTGCACCTCAAAAGAGATTTCACAGGTAATCTTGCAAGGATTTCAAACAAGATGTCTTCGAGCATTCTAACTAGTCTTCTTCGTTCTATCAAACTTGAGGATTGTTGAAATGTTGAAAACAAAAATGCCTGCAGAACACAACTGGTTTTAACAAGAAAATAAGAGCATTTTAAAACGACAATTCAATTAGACACCATGAACAGAAAACAACTGCAACAAAAGATTATGAAACACATCACCACCCAATTCATGGTTGGAACTTCAACTAAGCAACATAAAGATCAGATAACCACCAAGTAAGCCTATATACCTTATGCAAAAATCGAAAGTCGAAACGTGAGAACCTCTGATACCATGCATGTAGAAATTTGAAACTTGATGATTTATCCTTTATTCAGTGGGTCCCTCAATATATAAAACACAAATGGGAGGTTTGGTTTAAACCCAATAGGAAGTTTATTATTGTAGTAGATAATAACTCAATTTCTCGTCATCCAGATAAAGGTCAATGACTAAAGTATAGCATGTAATTTTATAATAATGTAATTACAAAAGTTGAAAGAATCCCCTCGCAGGCCAGAAATCCAATTGGGGCATTGGTGTTGACCCGACAACCTTTCCACCCTCCAGAGCAATTCGACCCGGAACAATTAGAGTGTCGGAGAAAGGGACCAGCACCAAATATAAGGAAAATGTAATATTTAAAAAGCAAAGAATTCTAGGTCCTATGGAACTTTCTTAGCAGCCGAGACCTTTGTCTATTCTATTGTTTCATGAAGACATTCATATCAATTCCAAAAAACACGGTGTTTTACACGACTTGGAAGAGGACTGTAGTCTATAAAACCCTAAAGCCTTACCCCAAAAAGTAAAACCCTAAAGAAACTCAACAGGCTAACTGAAGATGATCGCAGACGAATCCACGAGTACAGGGATCCTGTCATTCTCTTTGAAGAATTTGTTTGTTTTGTGGATGGACGTGAATTTGATGACTAAGGGTTCGCGTTTTTGTTTGATTGAGTAGCAAGGGTTTCGGATTTAGGTTCCCTTATTGGCATAAAATCAGGTATGCTTTACTTCTCGGATGTTTTTCTTATGTTGCCTAGTTGAAGTTCCAAACATGACTTGAGTGCTGTGTATCATCTTCTATTGTTGAAGTTGGTTTCTGATCATGGTGTCTTGCATTGTGTCATCTTGGAACCAGTTGAGTTCTGTAGACAGTTTTTGTTTTCAACATGTCAACCCTCAATTGTGGAAGTAGACGAACAAGAGACGGACAAGTGTTCATGGACAATATACCCGAAGAAATATATTGTGTCAAATCCTTGCAAGATTACATGTGAATTCTCTTTTGCGATTCCGATGTGTTTGTGAATCTTGGAACACTTTAACTAGCAGCCCTGATTTCATATGCTCCTATCTCGAAAGAAGCATCATGAAAAAAAAAAAAAAAAAAGTGATTATCTACTTATCCACACTAGCATAACAAGAAATTACTTTTCAATCTGTTGTGCTCAAACATTTTCCAAGTGTTCAAGTGTTCCTGTGCCACACATTTCTCATGTCGTCAATGGTTCTTGCAATGGATTGCTTTGCATCTCTGATAGTTTGCAGAATTCTGTATATCTATTGAATCTGTCAATCAAAAAAATCAAAAGACTTCCCATAGTCATTCAAGATACAACCTATGTCGTTGCTATCGGGTTCGGATTTCATCATGGTGGAAATGACCATAAGGTTGTGAGGGTGATGAGGTTTGCATGCAAAGAAAATATGTTTGGGGTTGAGGTTTGCAGAAAATATATTTGGTATATCCGCACGTGGTTAGCATTTTGAAGAGGTGTCTAAGATTCATGTATTTTTTCTTTTGTTTCCCTGTGTTTAGTTCATGCACTATAAATCTTTTTTAAAATTACGTTATTCTCTCTGTCTTTCATATTTGGGTTTCGGATGGTGTCCTTGTTATCTTTTGTAATTTTTGAGGATGCTTCTATTTTATAAAGCATGCATCTGCTCCAACAACAACAAAAAGTTTTTTTTTTAATTTTCTAATGTTTACGGGAAATTTTTTTGTAACCAGCTACATAACGTAAGTAAGAAAACATATTTTACTATATGCTAACCAAATCTGAGTGCCCGTTTAAGCAATGCTGAGTTTCTATTGTTTCCTCCCATAAAATCCCCACATTCAACTTTCCTCTCATATTTTCCTAAACTCAGAATACCCACGAAATCAAGATTGAAGTTGTAGCCTTTTCTTTTATTTTCCAGTCTGAGCCCGTGTGTTGGGAATAATTAGTTGATTTTCAATAAAAATTTGTAGGCATACCAAGAGACTTGTAGTTCAAGTGGTTAAGTGCATTTGCTCAGCACGTGA